CTCCTCCTCCTCCCCCTCCCACGTCTATAATTACCTATTTGTTGTCAGAAAATGGGAAATCGTAGAAGTCATGTTCCATGTCAGAAAAATGGGAAATTTGTAGAAGTATGTTCAATCTCTTTTTCTTTCCTCTTGATCTCGACCATCTCTCGATTTATCCGTGTCATCCTTGCGCAGGGGCCATGCTAATCGTCTTTCTAGCATTCCAACTTTAAGGGATATCTCATCCCGCCTCCTGCCCCTCTTCCTCTTCCTCCTCCTCCTCTGCTTTCTCCACGTCCTCCACCTCCTCCGCTTTCTCCACTTCCTGTGCGTCCTTCGCTTCCTCAGCGCCTCCGCGTCCTCATCGTCCTCATGTTCGATCTCTTTTTTTTTTTGTTAATTACGGCCATCTCGTGATTTATGCATGTCATCCTTGCTCAGGGCCCATGCTAATATTCTTTCTACCATTCCAACTGTAGGGGATATCTCATGCCGCCTCCTGCTCCTCTTCCTCTTCCTCCTCCTCCTCCTTCACTTCCTCTGCTTTCTCCACTTCCTCCGCTTCCTCACCTCTTCCTCCTCATCTTCCTCCTCCCTCTCCCCCTCCCGCTCTTCCTCTTCCCGGTTCTCCTGCCATTCCCACTCTTCCAGCTCCCTCTCCCGCTCCCGCCCTTCCTGCCACTCTCTCTCCTCCTCGTCCCCCGCTCCTCTTTTTCCTCCCCCCACTTCTCCTCTATTCTTTGCTGTGATCTCCTCTTCCCTCTTCCCTCTATCCTCCTCCTCCTCCTCCTCCACCTCCTCCTCCTCTCCCTCCCGCTCCCAATCCTCCTCGTCCTGGTCCTCCTCCTGCCATTCCCTCTCCTCTCCTCATCGCCCTGCTCCCGCTCCTCCTTCCACTCCCGCTGCTCCTCCTCCCGGTACTCCTTGCTCCAGTCACCGCTTGCCTCCATCCTCCTCTTCTCCTCTTCCCTCCTCCTGTCGTATGCTTGATCATCGTCATCATTACCTTGATCGTCGTTTTCCACCGTCCACGTCAGACTCCCCCTCTCGTGTCAGTGTCCTTTTCAACCGCCTCCTCCTCCTCCTCCACTCCCCCCAACCCCCGCCATTTTCCAATCTCTCATCTATTCACTTTTCGTCCAATGATTTGGGCTTGGCCTTTGGGCGAGCCGGTCGAGGTGAGAAACTGGAGGAGGAGGAGGAGGAGGAGGAGGAGGAAGGTCGAGGGAGGAGGAGTGTAAGGTCGACGTTCAGTTGCGGCTGGGATCCCGGCATGAAACCTGATGAATTAGTCAATCCTGGCTTGTGATTATTTAAAAACAATACAATAAAACAAGCAGAGGCCAGCCGCGATGGCTATGCTGTGGCAGAAAACAAAGGAAGGGGTAGAAACAGGGTGCCTAAGCCGGCATGGTGTCATAGGCGGGGGAAAGGACGGGAGGTGTGGTGGTGAGGGTGGTGTAAGTGCAGGAGGAGCTGCCAGTAGGGGTGGCAGTTGCGTTGGGGTGATGGGCAATGGGGAAGAAGGGAGGGGTGGTGGGTGGGGTGGTGTAAGTGCAGGAGCAGCTGTCAGTAGGGGTGTCGGTTGCGGTGGGGTCATGGGCAGTGAGGAAGAAGGGAGGTGTGGTGGTGAGTGCGGTGAAGGCAGGGTAAGAGGCGGGGTGACTAATGGAGGACGTGTCGGGGGCCGTGATTGCGGTGGTGTTTCCCTGTTAGCCAGTTGCTGCTGTGTTAAAGCACGGGTACATGGCCGTGACTGCGGTGGTGTGTCCCCGTTAGCCAGTTGCTGCTGTGTTAAATCACCCTCTGGTTCTTGTTGGTGTGTGTGTGTGTGTGTGTGTGTGTGTGTGTGTGTGTGTGTGTGTGTGTGTGTGTGTGAGAGAGAGAGAGAGAGAGAGAGAGAGAGAGAGAGAGAGAGAGAGAGAGAGAGAGAGAGAGAGAGAGAGAGAGAGAGAGAGAGAGAGAGAGAACTGCTTTGGTGAGATGGTGAACGCCGGGGACCAAAAACACCTGTTTTTGAGGAGCGGAAGGGCCACAAGGACCGAAAAAAACAGCACGTCCTGTTATGCATGGTGCACCATAACCTGTTCTTGAGGCCCAGAAGAACGAAAAACGACTGGTTCTCGAGGACCAGAACCAAAAGAGCTGTTCTCGGTTGACCAAAGAACCATAAAACCCAGTTCTTGAGGACCAAAAGGATTTTCAGTAGAAAAAGGAACGGTTCTTGAGGTCTAAAAGGACCAAAAGCTGATTGTTGATGACCAAAAGGACCCGAAAAACCAGCTCAAGGAGAACGAAAAGAGCCAAAAAATGTGTTTTTGATTGACCAAAGGACCAACAAACCCGGTTCTTGAGGACCAAAAGGATTTGCAGTAGAAAAATGAACGGTTCTTGAGGTCTAAAAGGACCAAAAACTGGTTGTTGATGACTGACAGGACCCGAAAAACCAGTTCAAGGAGGACAAAAAGAACCAAGAAACGGGTGTTTGATTGATCAAAGGACCTTCAATTTCTGAGAAAGGAAATAATGCACTTTGTAAATTTGTCCCATTTTGCAGATGGTTCTTCGCCCTGGTTTGCAAATGGGTGGACCGGCAGCAGAAACAATTCTCGGGGAGGATGGAAAGCCCAAACTGCGGCAGCTGCTTGGGATCCCAGTTCGGGAGCCGATTGCTCGACCGGCAAAGAGGACCGATTACAGAGTCGCTTATGCACAGACCGAGACACCGTTGGTGATTGACAACGGCACATATCACTGCCGAGTTGGGTGAGTGTTTGCGCCTCCAAACAGAAGGAGATGATGTCGCCATGCTCATTTGTTCCATTGACGTAAGGCAGAAACCAAGAAGGAGAAAGGTAGGGAAAAACAACAACGAGAGAGTGAATCTTTGCACCTCCAAGGAGGAGGAGATGATGAGCCCATCTTGGCTTGTTTGATGGATGTAAAGACGGAAACGAAAAAGGAAAAAGGGAGGAGGAAACAAGGGGAGGCGTAGTGTTTGCACCTCGAAGGAGAGAACATGATCACCCCATGTTGGTTTGTTTGATTGACATAAAGACGGAAAGGAAGAAGGAGAAAGGTAGAGAGTGTGAGGTGTGCACCTCCAAGGGGGAAGGGATCATCACCCCATGTGTTGGGTTTGCTCGTTTGTGATGGAAAGGGTAGAAAAAAATCAAAGAGAGAAATAGGCAAGAGGGAAAGTGGGGAATCAGGTGGGTGTTTGTCGCTCTGAGGAGATGATGACGTCATGCTTATTTGTTTGACTTGAAGACGGAAGGACGAAGGCAAAGGCAACAAAAAGAGGGAAAGAGGGAAAAATGAAAGCTTGTGGAAGATAAAAAGAAAGAGAAGCTCGGGCCTAGCTGAGTTGGTTACACCCGTGAACTGTTGAAATCCAAAAAAAACAAGAAAAAAGAAAAAAGAAAAAAGAAAAAAGAAAAAAGAAAAAGAAAAAAAAAGAAAGGGTAGCTCAGAAAAGTGCAGAACCAGAAGACCTACCTGACCATCTCCTGCATAAGGTTGATGACGTCAACACAATGTAACTGTTGATAAGTCGTGGGTTGTGTAACACAGAAGAGAAAAGTAGGGAAAGATGAAAACTAAGGCAGCAGAAAAAAGGGGCAGGGAGGGGGGAAGGGGGATGAAAGTGCAAAAAATGAAGGGAAATGTAGGAGAAGGGTGGGAGGGGGGTGTCGCATGCCTCATCGGCATCGATCAGAACCGAGAACGGACCTCTCAGAGACAATACAAAAATAGCACAGCGGAAGACTGGAATACCAAGATCTGACTCAGCATGATCAATGACAGGACCTGGCAGCATACATCATCACTCAGAAAGAGGGAGAGGAGGCGAAGGGGGAAGAGGGAGATAGGGAGGATCAGTCACCATAGCCTGATGGACCGAGTCTCCAATGTATCCCCAACATCGCTGCTCACACAATGTCAAGTCGCAATGTCACTGAACTGGGCAATGCCCGAATGCCACCAAGTCTTAATGTCAACTCTCTCTCTCTCTCTCTCTCTCTCTCTCTCTCTCTCTCTCAGCAGGAGAAGAAGAAGAAGCCCTGGAGGGAAAGAGGAAGGGCGATGGAGATCATCAGGAGGGAAAGAAGAAGAAGAAGCAATCCTCTCTCTCTCTCTCACTGCATCTACGCCAGGTACTAACCTGCAGAAAGTTGCCCGCCTTGATGCAGGTGCGGACGTCCGTAGACGAAGCTGGAGCTATGGCGTCACAGGTAAGTCGCAGGTAAGTCTTGCTGGCCTCTGCCCGTCTCTCACTCTCTCTCTCTCTCT